TAAGATGAAGAGTTTGGCTAACCGAATCAACCAGAAATTGAGCCCTCGTTACTATGGTCCTTATGCGATTGAAAAGAAGATTGGAGCTGTTGCTTATCAGCTCAAGCTGCCCCCAGACAGTAAGGTGCATCCAGTATTCCATGTGTCCCTCCTGAAGAAGGCCATCGCCCCCACAGCAGATTTTCAACCCCTTCCAGCTTGTATGAATGAAGATTGGTTGTTGGAAGTTCAACCAGAAGCTGTCAAGCAACTCAGAACAAATGCCCAGGGTGAGCTAGAAGTGTTGATCAAGTGGCAAGGCTTGCCTGAATTTGAGAACTCGTGGGAGCTGGTGACTAAATTCAAGCAGGAATTTCCTTTCTTTCCCCTTGAGGACAAGGTGAGTGTTGTAGGGGGGGTAATGATACATTAACGGGGGGTAAAATTGACAAAGTGTATATCAGGAAGAAGAAAAGAAATATGGGAGGACCGGTTATTAGGGATCACGCCTCTAATAACTAACTCCTGGCCACCTGGGAACGTGCAAGGACGTGGGTACGTGCAGTGAGAGGCGCAGAGGGGATTATAGCGGGCAGGGCATCTGGGAGTTGGCAGACTGGAAATTGGCTTGTCCTTAGGAGAGTGGGGACTCTGTAAAAACCTTTTATCCTTCATCCATGTTTTTCTCAGTTTCTTATTTGTAATTACGTTGATCCATACTGATTCAGATTGTTTCCCTTTCAATATTATCAATACGACGCAAGACCCTATCAAAATACAACTACTTGTATAGCATTTCAAGATGAAGTATAACGAATATATTCATATATTTCACATGGTATCAGAGCCAATATGGCAAATATATTTAGTTGGTGTTATGATCTTTCTGCCGGTCAGAAATTCCGGGCAGAATCTCCAGCCAGAAATTCCGGCATGAATAGTGGTCATTTATGTCGTGCTTTCAGTAGTGATATAAGCCTACCGAACTCCTCAATGCAACATCACGACTTACCGCCGGGAAAATTACTGCCATTGTCTCATCTAGCTCCGCTGAAGTTCGCACCTGCAACTGTACGTTTTTACAGATCTCTTTCTTTCTGCTCATCCGCCATTGACACCGCAACCAACCTAAAGATCCTGAGATTCCGGTGACCAGAACAGTATAGGATAGCTCCGCCGCCGTCTGACCACACGCCGCCGCCTCTGCCGCTGTCTGCACGCCCCACCGCTGTTTCTGCCGCAGCTTTGTTTCGTCACTCCCGGACAGAGGTCTGTTAACTCTGTTTTCTTCATCTCTGCTTTGCTACTGTTGATCTCCCTGTATGCCTGAGTGATCCTCTTGGTCAAGACACTCCAGCTGCTGTCTTGGGGAGTTGTTACTGCTGCACTACTTTAAATTTTTAATTTCTACTACTTCTTATAAAACAAAACAAAAAAAAGAGAAAAAAAGAAATAAAAGAAAAATATGTTCTTGTTTTTCTTCACTTTCTTCAGGGCCTGACGGAGGCTCCAACAAAGGATACCCGCGAAGTAACTTTAGTCATAAGATTGGTCATGCTAAAGACAAATGTTGGAAGTTACATGGAAAACCTCCTACCGTAGCCAATGTTGTTCAGATCCCGCCATCTCCGATTGTTCTATGATTCGATCTCCAGTCGAATATGCAACGTATCAGAAATTTAAGTCAAATAATCTGTCTTTATCTACACTTGGTACGTCTACCGCTTGTGTTTCAAACACCACGACCTCATGGATCATTAACTCAGGTGCCTCAGATCATATTTCTGGTAATCCCCATCTTTTATCTCATATTACCAATCAACAACACCTTCCTTTGATCACTCTTGCTAATGGACTTCAACCCTCAGCCACGACTATTGAGCAAACACTTTCTCTTTCATCCTTACCATTAGACTCTGTCTTATATGTCCCCAATAGCCCCTTTAATCTTGTCTCTGTTAGCAAATTACACGTGTTCTTAATTGTTCAATAACCTTTTGTGTTGATTCTATGATTTAGTAGGATTGTTGTACGGGGAAAACGATTGGCGTTGGGCACGAATCTCATATCATCTCCACCCTCTTGATCCAATCACTTGTGTCTCGGTTGCACCTGCAATTACCTTACATAATCATTGGATCATCCTAGTCTATCAATGTTTAGACGTCTAGTTCCAGGTTTCTCAAACCTTTAGAGTGTGAGTCATGTCACCTAGGAAAGCAACCTCGTAAATCCTTTCCAAGGGCGGGTCAATAAACGTGTTGTGTCCCCGTTTGATTTAGTTCATACAGATGTATGGGGTCCTTATCTACTTTAGGACTTCGTTATTTTGTTATATTTATGGATGATTTTTCCCGTTACACATGGTTATTTTTAATGAAAGAGTGTTTTGAATTGTTTCATATTTTTCAAAAAGTTTGGCCATTCTATAAAAATTTTACGCACTCACAACACTAAGGAATTTTTTGCAGTCCCCTTTGATCAATACATGACATCACGGAGTATGCTTCATCAATCTTCTTGTGTTCACACGCCTCAACAAAATGGGGTTGCTGAACGCAACAACCTGCATTTATTGCCTTTATTTGATACTGCTCGCGCCATGTTATTACATTCACATACACCACCTCAGTCTGTGCTCACGTGCTCACTGCGTGTCATTGTTAAGGGCCTTGGTACAAGATCTCGTCCAAGGCCGGTGAGGATTGAGAGAGGAATGTGAAGCTATGGTGTCTGGAATAAAAAAAAAACCTAACTTCCTGCCCTGGGCAAGGAAGGTGATCACTGGTTCCACCAAAAGATCAAAAGATTAAATATTCCAAAGCTAATCTCATTAATCCAACTGATAAGCCTTAAATAGGCAAAAGACAAGTTTCCTAAAACAATAATAGGAAAGAAGTAATAAAGAGGCTCCTAAACAAGTATAAGGAAACCTGAATAAATAAACTCAAAGTAGGAAACTGATTCAATTAATTAAAATAGACTCAAAGTAGGAAACTTATTTAATTAATTAAAATAATGAGGATCTCTTAAGTTGGTCCCTTTTTTGACCGCCTTTGGTAGACTCTGCCAAATCGACCCATATCAGTCATTTGATAAATCGCATGCCTTCCTCAATTCTTAATAATGAAAATCATATTCTGTTTTGTTACCGACTTGTGAGTTATTTCCATTACCTAATTGCATGAATGATTCCATTTGAAGCGCGTGTTCTTAATCAATTTCGTGATAAGCCATGCAACGGACACTGGGATGAAGCTATTCGAGTCATGAGATGCATCAAGAAAACACCAGGACAAGGGTTGTTAATTGTTATTCGAAGACCGAGGTCGCCGTGATATTGTGGGATATTGTGTTGCACATTGGGCAGGATGTCTGATTGATAGGCGTTCTACTTTGGGATATTGCATCTTGATCGGTGGAAATCAAATTTCTTGGAAGAGTAAGAAACAATATTTGGCCCTTGCTACATGCGAAATCTTATGTCTGAAGCATCTCCTCCAAGAACTAAAATATGGAAGCACGACATTGCATCAAATCAAGTATATCATGAAAGGACTAAATACACTGAAGTTGAATGCCACTCTATTCGAGAAAAGATCGCGGCTGGACATATTTTCACAAATTATGTCAACACAACGGATCAGCTTGCAGATGTTTTAAGTCTCTTAGAGGTCCTAAAGTAGAGTATATTTGTAATAAGTTTGGTGCATATGATTTATATGCCCCAGCTTGAGGGGGGGTGTGGAAACCCTAGTTGTATTGGGCTTAGCCCATTTGTGTATAGAAACCTTAATGCTCTAATATAGCTATAAATAGAGCTACTTGTATAGCATTTCAAGATGAAGTATAATGAATATAATCATATATTTCACATGTACATATACACACATATTATTAATTAATTAATTTATTTATTTATTTACTTATTTATTTATTTATTTATTTATTTATTTATTTATTTATTTATTTATTTATTTATTTATTTATTTATTTATTTATTTATTTATTTATTTATTTATTTATTTATTTATTTCTATACTTAAGTTTTTCCAACATTTGCAATGGAGCCAAAGACTCACTAAACTGTCTTGGGAATATGATGGAATAAAGCAAAATGGTTCACTAAACAGTCCATGCAATTTTCGACGCGATTTTCACTATGGATCATCCGGAAATAGTCTCTATGTGCTTAGGTACAGGGGTAATGCCACGTACATCCGACCCGCCTTACCCCACCGTAGGTGGGAGCCTTTGCGGCACTAGGTTAATGATGATTTATATACTTGAGTTTTTATTGATAGTAAAATAATGAGTAAAAAAACTCTAGTGAAGGAGAGAGAAATCCATAAAAATGGTAAAATAAAAATGTTACTCCCTCTGTCCCCCAATTAAGTTTCCACTTTTCTTTTTGGGCAGTCCCTAAATTAAGTTCACACTTCAATACTTTCTTTATTTGGCAAATTATCTACATCAAAAAAGTGCCAAACAGTGCCAAACAGTGTCAAACAGTGCGCTCCACAGTAAAGTCAAATTTATTTTCTTAATATGTGTGAAGTCAAACCAGGAACTTAATTGGGGGACGGAGGGAGTATATACTTCGTATTATTTATTTATTTGTTCATTCATTCATTTACTTATTTATTTAAGTACTTGTATAAATATAATATTAATAATTCTGAAAATATAAAATTTATTTTTAGCTCAAATTTGAGCTCGGGTTCGAGCACGGGTTCGAGCATCTTATTCGAGCTTGAACCTATAAAAGTTAATGAGCAAAACTCAATCGATCCCCAACCAAGCCTGAATCAAGCTTGAGCCGAGCTCGAACCAAAATTATTAGACTCGTTTGAGCGCTTATCGAGCTCGAGCTCAAGCATGCCTAATTTCTGCGTTCAGCTCGGCTTGTTTGATAAAAATATAACAGTTGAACTAATAAGGAACTAGGCCATTAAGAGTAGTTATTTGATAAAAATATAAAATACATTAACTTTGATATATAGCACAACACAATAACTTGCCTCAACTTGGTAGTCTGAGAGTAGCCTCTCAACCGTTCCCCAGATATTTTCTTTGTCCACCTTGTGGAGGACAAAAGTATGTCTGCAGTTAGCCCAAATGACAAAAACAATGTGTTAGTCTGAAATATTAAATGTGTGTTCCATCATCATACATATAATAAAAACATCCTCATCTAGATGCGAAGTGAACAGAGTGTATCGCTATTGGCAAAAAGTATATGCAAAATCAACTAAGATGGTGTTTGGCATTGATTCAGATTCATTTTTAGGACTGGAATCAAACTTAGTGTTCATACTTGTCATGGCAACGTCTAGGCTTTGACAGGCGGTCGCTCAGACGTCAACTTGATAGGTTACTCACAGAATATTAAGGAAACTGTAAATCTATCAAAAAGTATTCAAAGCTTCAGAGTTCATTAATGGCGGAGATTACAACAGTAATCAATGAAAGTAATGAAACATTTAGAGTCTCAATCTCCCAGCCCAAATCTAACTGAATACCAGCCTACTTCTCCTTCCCCTCCTGCTATTTATTTTCTTCCATCTCCAATCTTGGCAAAGACACATCAGCTAACTAACTAACCATATAAGTTAACTAATTAACTGTTTATTCCTTTCCTCTCCTGTGGTACAGCATTTATCCTCGAATATACCACCATATCAGGTTTCACCTGGAGTTCCCACTTCCCACGTCTTCAGATCTAGCTCTTAGTACAGATCTTGACCTCCTAATACCACTACATAAAGGTACACGGTCTTGTACTCTCCCATTCTTTCTTTTGTATCATACGATCATCTATCCACTGCCTCATGTTCTTTTATTGCTTCCATTGACTATCTCCATTGCAAAATTTGTTAAAGAAGCATTACCTCATCCTTAATGGCACAATTCCATGGTAGACGAAATGAATGCTTTGGATCTTAATGGCACTTGGGATTTGGTAGACTTGCCAACACGGAAGAAGTCTATTGGATGTAAGTGGGTCTTTGTTGTTAAAGTTAGTCCAGACAGATCCATTGAGGGGAGTGTTGAATCCCTAAATCCTAACTAATTGGGCTCAACCCACTATATGCAGTTAATCCTAGGTACCTAGTTATAGCTACAAACATAGCTACTGTTATACTCTTTTATAAGATGAATAATAATGAGAGCCATATATTTCACAATGGCCTTGTCTCATTACTTATAAAAGAAAACTTCAAATTTTGATTCCTTATCAAGGGCAACTACGAAAAATCGAACTTGAATAAAGCTTTCAATCATCATGAACATGTGCACAAGGAAGAAGAATATGTACAAAGCCATCAAAATATATTACCTGTACATGAAACTTCGTAAGAAAGTTAATGTAGCTGATCTGGTCCGCCAATTTAAATCTTCCGCTGAAGCAAGCAAGACACGTACCACTTTCTCGAGATGAGGTTCTAAGACAAGTCTCCATTTGAACAATTCAAAAGCCACTTTGGCCAGAGTAGAAAGATCTTTATATGATGTTTCCTTCAAGTAATAAAACACAGACAAACATTTGTCATTATACAAAGATTGAAAGCACAAAAATGACCAACATATTAATGACATGATGGGGAGAACAAATGAAAGAATATCATAAGCAACAAAGATAAATAACGTCTCCACCTTCCTTAGGAAAGAGGTGGTGTTTGACCTAGTCACGATTTCAAGAATTCAATCGCAAAACAATAGATGACATTACTAATGAAAAAACACCTCTATTACTAATGTTTTGAATCTATTACATTACTCAGACTAGATTACTGCTATTAGAAATATTAACTAACATAGAATACCAATGCTAATAGGAAATTATAAAAATAATAACAGGATATTCATAGTAATAGTGTAATATTAGTAAAGGAAACAACAATAATAATACAAGACTCTTCTTGCTGCCTTAACGCCTTAGAACAAGACCCTCCCATATCACAATAATACTATCTCTGCCCAAAAAATCATGCTTGCAATATTGAATCAATATTACAAAGAATATATTTTTAAGATGGAGGTAGTATAAAGTCGAAAAAGACAATACTATATTGTAGCTAAGACATCAAGGTTGTTAAAATTGTATTTTTAATCAATTGATACAAGGTTTTGAAAATCGAATCATTAGGTCGCATCATAAATCTTAAAATTTTGTTTAATACTCCCTCCGATTCAAAAACAAGTTCCATCTTTCCTCTTCGGGCAGTTCCAAAATTAAGTTCCACTTTCAAATTTTTCCTTATTTGGCAAATTATCTACATCAAAACAGTTTCAAACAGTGTCAAACAGTGTCCAAACAGTGCCAAACAGTGCACTCCACAGTAAAGTCAAATTTCTTTTCTTAATATGTGTGAAGTCAAATGTGGAACTTGTTTTTGAATCGGAGGGAGTATAAATTAATACTCCCTCCGTTTCCATTTGTTTGGCACACTTTGACTTGTCAAAGATTAAGGGAAAAAAATTACTGAGGGGTAAATTTTACTGTAGAGTACATTGTTTTGACACTGTTTGAACATTGTTTGACACTGTTTTGATAAAGATTTGTTTACCGGATAAGGAAATAAGGAGGTGTGGCATACATTTTGAAACATCCAAAAAAGGAAAGTGTGTCAAACAAATTGAAACGGAAGGAGTAATTATTACCTCCATCCCACTAACATTGGGACATGAGAAAGTGGTGCAATTATTAAGAAAAGTGGTTTGATGTGGCTAATATTGAATTGATAAAGTAGTAATAAAGTAAAAATGATTTAGAACCACACAAACGTTACAAAATGTGTTATGAGACAATCTTAGTGGGACGGACTGAAAAGGAAAGATGGGATAATCTTAGCAAGACGGAGGGAGTATCATTTATTTCATAAAACAAACCTACAAGTTTATAATAAAATGAAAACTCATACCCTAAAACCATTTGTATGCCGTTATAAACAAAATGTATATATTACTTAAATTGCACAATTACGTAACATTTAACACATTTGAAAGATAAAAGTCATATAAGGTCTTATATTACGTTATTTTATTGTTATTGGACTTATATGTGAAAATTTTATAATCAAAATCAAATATTTTAAAACATTTTTATTCAAAAACATCACCACAATTATGGTACCATTTTATGCTGATTCAAACAATTTAGTACTCCTTCCGTTCTTAATTAATGGTCCTCTTAGGTTTAAAAATCCACTTTTGGTCCTACGAGTATCACACCAATTCCACAAGTGGTCCACGTCTTTGACTTTAACCAGTTTTGGCATATGACTATTGTTTTTCTCCCATATATAGTCCTTTTCCGATGGTCAAAATGCCTAGAAATGCATCGAAAATGGTCAAGAAAACAATAGTCAAGTATTAAAAGTGGACAAGGTGAAAGACTTGGACTAAATGTGGAATTGACATATATCACGATTCCAGTGATATATGAATGTATGTTACAAAACAAAAAACAGGATAAGTACAAGACCATGTAGCTTTTCGTAATTCAACGGGGAGGTCAAGATCATAAACTACAGCCGAAGACAAAGGTATGGTGGAGGAGGTGTGGGATCAGGTACAATAACAGTGTGAATGAAAATGTCATTGTCCTTAAATTGTTTGCGTTGTTAAGGAAAATGATGTATTATCATGAAAGGGGGCATCAAAGAGATAGGATAACCCCATTTATCAGGGCAATACATCCATACCCCTTTCAAACATCCTGGATCTAACTTTGTAACATGAAGCCGAACATCCCTTGCAAAATGTCTAATTATGTTGAGTGGGATGGTAAAGAACTCTTTGTATGGAAATAAACAAAAGTAAGGAGAATACCCATTCAAATAGAAGGCCTTCGATTTGTAAAAAAACACATGAATAACATGACATCTGCCCAAAACTATTTACACAAGAAGTTTGAATAATAATGTCACATACTCACATTGGAGCATAAAACAACAATATCCAAGCATTAGTCCCAAAAGAGTTTGGGATCGGCTAACAAGAATCGACATTTAAAACCGGAGTTAAAATGATAAATAGAGAAAAGGGAGACAAATAAAAACAAATCAACCTCTACATGTATACTCTCCCTCCACTTTGCTCTCTCCACAGTCATTAATAGAAAATGTAAGAGAGAAGATTCATGAAGCTTGTGAAGGCACATTTCTCTAGCAAGGAGCAAGAAAAAAGATAATCTGAACCACTTTGTTCTCCGTAATTTTAAAGTATATAGAAAAAACTTCAAACACTACCAGAGGTCTGTTGCTAACCACTACCGGGGTATTATTGAAAGAAACTAGCCTGGCATAATAAACAAAGCACACAGTCTTTGAGAGAGAAATATATTCTGGATTTCATACAGTAAAAGATCAGGGATACTGACTTCAAAACGAAGCAGACATTAAAGGCTCAAAGAGAAGATCAAAATTCAGAAAACGCGAAACAAGCAGCACCGGAAGATAGAGGGCACTCACACTAGCCAGAGGGAGGGTATCTTCCGACTGAAATTCCGGCCGGCAAATAGGCCTCAGGCGCCGGGGTGTGCAGTGGAGATGGCTGCCTTTGGCGGCGCTTAGGGATCACGCACGCTGATTTTGGGCATCAGACTTCAGTGGTTGAGTCATCAAATGCAGGCACACCACCTTGGGACAGCACTGATGCGAGAAAGTTCTAAGTAGTACAGGTTTTTGAAAACTAAAGTTATGAGTCACTGCTAATGGAGCTCAAAGATCTCCTTGTTTGTTATAGTAAAGTTTCAATGCTCATAAAAAATTATTTCATTAGAGTAATTTTAGCATATTCAATTGAATGATGGAGCACCTATAAATACATTCCAAAGATAGAACATTCTTAAGTGAAGAGAGCATAATCCTAAAATATTTTTAAGTAAATTCAAAATACATTTCACAGATGGGTTCATAGCTAGGACATAACATCATTTGTAGCTATGCACTAAAATAGTTTCACAGATTTATCTCAGATCTGCTTTATCACAATTCAAACATCTACCCAATGCCAATAAACTGGCTAGGGCAAATAAAAGGGTCCATATGAGTTGGTGTTAGTATTAATGACAGCACCGTGTATCAAGGTACAGTCTTGCAACACTGACATTCAATGGAAGGAGTTTACAGATAGAATATACTAACAACTTTTTGTGCTTGAACAAAATAAGATACTTATCAATGAGACCAATTTGCCAAGAAACTAGGGAAATTAATCAGCTTTGCTAAGGGGGAAAGATTAAGTACACTAAAAATATAAAAGAGCATTGACACAATTACATAATCAACTATTAAAGCAATCACAGATATTTGCAATAATGTCCAGTAGATAGGGTCTACTAATGTAACATAGGAATAGGAATTATATACTCCACTTAACATACCTGTAGTGATATTACAGGATAGAGAAGACCAACAAGAACATCCAGCAAAACCGAAGACCTTCCGGACTTTAAAGAGGAGATGACGAAATGAAATAGCTGCACATGCGTCACAAGAAGTAAATACTTCTCTCTAATTCTTTATTCCGCAAAAAAGAGTCAAGTTGATGATATATTTTTAGAATTATATGAGAAACATTATGACACTTTCTGGAAAGGATTTAGTAAATGAGTGCAAAAGCGGAGGGAGCTTTAATCAAATGGTGCTATTTTTGAAAATATACCGTCTCCATCCATTTAGCATCATCTTCAGATTTGTCGTTTGATGATCCATTTTCGGAGGCTTTATTTGCTGAGATATCAAATACATCTGACTGGCTAGACTTTTGGATATTTGGCACAAGTTTTGAAGCTTGGTCCACCAAATATTGATCCCAACACCATGTTTTCATGTTTTCATGATAGCTGTCACTTTGTATATCATGGAACTGAGCTTGATTACACAACTTGTTTAGTCGGATGTTTGAACATACCACACACAGAGTCAAACCAATGGATTCCCTTACCTGTTACACAAAAACATACAGCAACTATTTAACACCGTGACATGATGAATTGTTAAAAATTGTAAAACACTTAGCAACGAGAAAGCTAAGACAACAATGATGTGGACGCTTTTGTGGGCCATACTTATCAGCAACGTCGTCTACACAAGATGGACCAAGAGGCCCATGCAGAGAGAAGCACTGAAGGGCGGACTAAAAGTGGTTGATTGGGTGGGCTAAATGACCAGGCTGCCTTCTGATTTAAGAAAAGCAGTCCTAATTCAATTATTTTTCTGAATTCCTGTTTTTCAGATTTGGGAAAACTGTCAAATTAGTCCTTATAGTATGTCGAAATAGTCTATTAGGTCCTTATACTTAAAAATCATCCAATTAAGCCCTCAAGCTTTTTAAAACGTTCAAATGAGCAGTTTAGTAGGTCACCAACGGGTTTCAATGTCAAATGTATGCGTAGGCTGTCCAAGTGGCGGCACATACGTGCCACATCAGATAAATGAAAATAATTTAAAGAAAAGGGACATTTAAGTAATATCACAGCAAAATAATGACTTCCCGATCCTCCCCATTCTTTACTTTTATTCTTCGCAAATAAATCTCGGAATGCTTCTGCTTCTTCTTCCTATCAAAACGAGGACGCCGGCGATGAAGACTAAAGTAGAAAACGTCGGGCAATGGCGGTGGAGGCTGAACCAGATCATGTTAGCGTCTTAGCGATGGAGGTGAAGACTGTCCAGAAGACATCTACGACGGCCAGACCCATGTTTGGAACTAAAGTTGATTTGCGGCGAGTTCTTCCCCTGCAGGGATGTCCATCTTCGACCCATGTTCACCAGCGAGTTCACTCCCTGACTCCCTGTGTGCCGGTGAGGCAGTGAGTCTGTCTCCAGTATTGTGAAATGTAACTTCATATCCAACAAAATATTTCTTCTTTTCTCCATTTGACTTCTTGACAAACGTATATGTAGAAATCTATAAATCTATGTATGGAGGGCAGTTCATATTAGGCCAGCCTGACAGCACCCGTCGTTCGGCTGAGGCCAATTGGGGTTCTTCCTGGTGGCATTTTTAGATGAAATTTTTTAGGCATTGTTCTACATCAAGTCTAGTTTATGCCCACCAAATTTCAGCTAAACATTCAATCGGTAAGTCAATAAAATGTGGAATTGAAAAACAATGCAATGCTTATATATAAAGCACGGTGTTTTTAAATATTTTATTTAACTGTCTTCCCGGTTGAATCTAAAGCTGTGAAATTATATGTGGAATATAATGCAGACTTATGCTTTTTTATCTTTTTATCTTTCTTATGTTCTTATGTTATTTTTATCTTACATTTATATCTATCTTATCCATTTTATCTTACCTTTTTTTTTGCTTTTCTTATCTTTCTTCTCTTTCTTCTCTTTTGGAAATAAGGCTTGGATGTTGTTGTATTTAGAGATATGTATGTATGTAATATGTGGCCCACTATGTGCATACACATTTATGGTCTGTTATGTTTAATATGTATAGCTTAACTCAATAGAATATCTATTATTACACTTAAAGATAGTACTTTGTGCTTGAATAGAAAAAAGTTGTATAGTTTTTATGATTATTTTTGTACAAACATTTTTTATGTCTGTGGTGAGAGACATATTATCATTAAAAACACATTAACCATTTTTAAAAAGTTGTAATGTTATTTTAAAAGTGTTCCAAATGGTTTTGATTATTCTAAAAAGAATCAAGTTTTTCCTATGCCAGGCGGCCTGGTGGACTGCTCCGCCTGCTCTTACGGGCGGGTGTGAGCATGTGAGGTGGCTCATTTGTTATGAGCCTTCCCACCCACACTATTGGACAAATACTTCGGAAAAGCCCAGCCCGAGCCTATTTTTGTACAGGTCTACTTTTCAACATCATAAATGGCTTGCCAGCAATGGGTGTCTATCACTCATATGGGACCGTTACAGCCAATCATGAGGGACTTGCCAAACCGTTACAGCCATATATGGGACCGTTACAGCCAATCATGACTGAGGGACCGTTACATCCAATCATAAGGTCTATATTTTATTGAAGAACTGAATGTGAGTAGCTCAGTCGCTCTGGTCGTCTTGTCATCGCTCAGGTGCATCGCTTGGGAGTTGGGTCTGCGTAAATGCTTCTTTTTGTTCAAAACCTGCGTCGTTTCCGATTTCCGACTCTGAGATTCATTTCAGAATTCTGACCAGGTGAGTCGGATTCTCTCCCTCGGGCATGGATGAAGAAGATCGTCTGAGTCAATGATCTTACGATCTTACTCGACGATCCATTGATCTTCCTGCATTTTCCGATCTTCTGTACAATCCAGCTTGTGCTTGCTACCTTGACGCGTAAAATCGTACGAGTTAGCGATCTAGATATCGATCTTAATAACCTTGGTTAGGCTTGGAGAGCCACACCCCAAAAGCTAGCTATTAAGGTGGGAGAACCAGGCACTTAAAAACCCAACCAAGCATCCCATTCTACTCGGTGTGGGACTTTTGGTATCCCATACTACCTAGGTCCCTAACAATACACCCTCCCCGGAAAGCGGACGTCCCAGCGGCTATACTTGGCAACACTTCACTTGGCGGTGCTTCACTAGTTCACTCAGCCGATCTGCCGGTCAGAACCCTCTGCTGGTAGCACCTTTTTGGCCCGCCGACAACCAGCTCTGATACCAATTGTTAGGAACTTAAGCACCTTGGAGAGCCACACCCCAAAAGCTAGCTGTTAAGGTGGCAGAACCAGGCACTTAAGAACCCCACCAAGCATCCTATTCTACTCGGTGTGGGACTTTTGGTATCCCATACTACCTAGGTCCCTAACAGGATCCCTAACAGTATCCATCTGACCTACAACAATCTTGCACAGCAGGCTGAATAGAGAAGTTTATGAGCTCTTGGTCTAGTTGGCTGACCAGCTACCTAAAGAGGCCTCTTTGGAGCAGCTTGACACTTTCCGCAATACATTTTCCTGACTATGAGCTTCAGGGTTCATTGCCAAGAGGGGAGTGATGATGTGGACACCTTCGTGGGCCGTACTTATCAGTGACGTCATCCACCAAAGTCAGGCCCAGAGGCCCACGCAGAGAGCAGTTCTAATTCCAATGAAACTGCTATTTTCATTTTCTCTCCTCATCATAGGTCCCGGAAATTAATTCTGTTTTCTCGCTCTCGGCCTTAAACAATATCTTGTACTTGTGCTCTTAACAAACAGGTGTACTTGTTTTGTCCATTTTATTTTTTGAACTGTACTGTTCCCAAGGAAACGAGATTGAATGCATGTGACCCTGTGTCTATATCATCATAAGGAGTGTAAGACTGCAGGATTATACAAGCACAAAGAATGAAAATGGGTTGAAGACTAAAAATTAATATTTGGAACCATTGTGATGCTGATATGCTTGGTGAAGTTATACTCTGCCTATTGTTGTTATATATAACAATAGCACAAGGAATGAATATAAGAAACCGTGCTAAAATTCCAGTTTTATTACTATTATATACTAGGTATGTATATATATATACACACACACACATATATATACAAGAATGTTCAGGTCCGAACGTTCGGACGGGAGCCTCCGTCCGAACACCGCCTTTTGGGGCGGTTCCCGGTGGAATTTTTTTGAGCATGTTCCTCATCAAGTCTAGTTTGTCCATACCAAATTTCAGCTCAAAATTCGATCGGGAAGGCATTCAAATCATTTTTGAAGTTGACTGCATTTTTATATGTATATTTTGACGCAGTCAACTACAAAAAATTATTTGAATGCCTTCCCGATCGAATTTTGAACTGAAATTTGGTATGAACAAACTAGACTTGATCAGGAACATGCTCCAAAAATTTCATCAAAAAATTCTACTAGGAAGTGCCCCAAATGGCCATGTACGGACGGCGTTCGGACCGGGGGGCTGCTGGACAGGATCATTCCTCTATATATATATATATATATACACACACAAATATTCCTGTCTGGAATTTCCGGACAGGAACCCCCGTCCGGCCTCCTCCATTTGGGGGCCTTCCCGGTGGTATTTTTTGCTCAAATTTTTTGTGCGGACCAGTTAACTTGCAAAAATCATTTGACGACCTTCTTGATTGAATTTTTTGCTGAAATTTGGTATGGATGAACTAGACTTGATGAAGAACATACACAAAAAATTTGAGCAAAAAATACCACCGGGAAGGCCCCCAAAAGGAGGAGGCCGGACGGCGCTCCGGTCAGGAAATTCCTGACCGGAAGATTACTATATATATATATATATATATATATATATATATATATATATATATATATATGCTGAATACTTACTTGTGGAGAAGAATGATTCATATTTCCAATCAATTCTTGAAGCAGCTTATTATGAAGCTCCATTTCAGCTGCAGGCATTCTAGGAGGGGATGACTCTATAAGTGCAGCCGAAAGAAAAATATAGCGCTTGGTAATAACCGTAGTACTAACTGCCTCCAGGAAAGGGTTCATCAAGCAGTCTAACACTTTCTGTCTTAAAAGAGGAACCTTTGTTCCATATTTTCCCTTCCCTGTAACTGCATAACGTATACAAGCGGCCCACTCAGGTATAGATTCCAGAGATGGCGCATGAATAATATTCTGCAGATGAACCATCAACCAGCTGTCCCATGCATCTGAAACACCATAGACATCAGAATGCAAAACACCAGCCAATGCTTCAGCAGCAACACACTGTTTTGTCCTCTCCGTGGCATTTAAATACTCCTTTAGCGGATTTTTTAGTGCCACTAACACAGGCATGCCACATTCTTGTATAAGCCGTTTAAAGATCCTGGCAAAGCTTGAGTAAAAGGTGTCATTTCCCAGTAAAGATATCCAGTTAGGTGTACGAGGCCATGATGAAGAAAATTCAAAATAAAACCGGGTGATGGATTTGTCTGCGAGGCTCTGGAATGAAGAGCTTCCATGACCTCCTTTGGAAGATGCGCCATCTGTATCAACTATATGAATATGAGAAAGACTGTTTAAAGTCTCATTAAAGAATCCTTCTTCTTTGAATATAATACTTAAAGCTCCTTCAAGAGAAGATTTCACATTTATGTGTACGGCAGTTCGGTCCTCAGGCAGTTTATAAGGTGATTCCTTTAACAGTGTATTTAGAGCAGAGATTGCTAGTATTCTCGTCTGAGGTAGTTGACTCTTCAAATTCTTTAAGAAATGACCTGAACATATTGAAACATAAACTATGAATGCCACCTAATTTTAGGTAGCAAAAGTATGATGGAACAAAGGTAGCCTTGGCAATTTACAAATAGTATCAGAATAAATTCACACACAATAACTGTTGGATCTTTAAATTAAACTCAAGGCTTAATGATGTATTCACTTACCGGCAGTTTCACTGACAACTTCTGATGATGAGTTCGGGTCATTCCTAGAAGCCATTGCTAACAGAAGCAAAACTCTATTAGCCATCAGATTATACCTGAGAGTAGACAAACCTAGTCAGTGCTGAAGTCACATAAATGCCAGCGAAAAGGTTGAGTAACTGAGAAAGCAGAATGAAAGCCTAGACATGCATAATGTAGTCGGTACCCATTTTCTGGGAAAATTAGTATGTTACGGAAGCTAGTTTCATTAAAAATTTACCTCCAATGCAAGTTGGTGCTTTCAAAACTCATAGAGCCGATCTCAGAAACCAACACTGCAAAATCAGTCTTGTCTGAATGGCTGGCTGATGTTTTGAACATATTTCTAGATACTCCCGCAAAATAAATGTTGTACTTCACAAAGAGCTGTTAAACATATGTTAAAAAATGACGTATTTAACATGCAAGAAAAAGGTTTTCAGAAGTAATATTCAACTATGCAGGAATGACTCACCTCATTGATTGCTTTCTGAGCTTTTAATGACTCGTGATGAGAGCTTTAATCAAACAAACAGTTAGAAACATGGTATGCCTCATTCTCTAGCAGATGAATCTCAACCTAAATGCAGGAAGCATCAAAATGATTTTTTACCTTGAAAGAATTCCAATCAGAAAAGAAGAAAGTGCCTTTGTATCCTGGATTGATAAAGCACATAGTCAAAACCTTTGTCAAACATTTGAGAACAGCAAAATACCATAGCAAGCAAACTCTTTTGTACATAAGTGCATCCAGTTGGAATGATCAATAATACCATAGTCAAGCATTTTAGCACGGTTTGTGTTGCAAGAACTGCACAAGAGCCTAACACTGCATATTCAGGTGAGCTTGGACTCCTCAAATTTTCACTGAGAGTCAGCACACATTTTGAAATAGTAAATGGCCATCTTTTCATCATTTTCAGAAGAGATTTTCCAGCAATTCTGATGACATGTGAAAGCAATATAAGAGATACATAAAATCTTAACAAAAAGAAAGGAAGCTTTTCTTTTCCAGTGGGATAGGAGAGCAGTCAGCACTTAACAACTAAATACAGACCTCTATAATGTTTAGGTATGCAAGCACATGACTCACATCTAACATTTATAAACATATGGGTATCACGCACAGCTGCACACTACCTGTATGATTTTCTATAAATTCATGGCCAAGATTTCATGGAAGTCTATCACTAATGCATACAAGATAACGCAAACCCAAAGCTAAATCAAAAGTGACAGGACATGGCTATAAGGAACGAGGTAAGGGTCAAAGTGGTACTCGAAGTTGCATAGAAGGGGTCAAATAAGTCCTTATATAGGAGGCTCTGTCCGGCCGTCGCCATTTGGGGCGGTTCGCGGTTGAATTTTTTGACGAAATTTTTTTAGCATCTTATTCATTAAGTCTAGTTTACTCATACCAAATTTCAGCTAAAACTTAAATCGGGAAGGCATTCAAATGAATTCTTGAAGATAACTGCGCAGTAGGCATTCAAATGAATTCTTGAAGATAACTGCACAGTTAAAAGCGCAGTTATCTTCAAGAATTCATTTGAATGCCTTCCCGATTGAAGTTTTAGCTGAAATTTGATACGAGTAAACTAGACTTAATGAATAAGATGCTCAAAAAAATTTATCAAAAAATTCCACCGGGAACCGCCCCAAATGGCGATGGCCGGACAGTAAGGACTTATTTGACCCTTTTTATGCAACTTCAAGTACCAATCTGACCTTTACCTCTATAAGGAACTAACTCACTAAGGAAGGTCTAAATAAGATTAGAACTTTGTAAAGCAATGCAACAACGCACAGAGTATCACCCAATGAAGGTCACCTAATCAACCTTCACTGATTTTCAGAGGGAAAACAAAAGATGATCGCCAAAAAAAACCTATGCAAATTTTGCTTTCAGTTCTGCATGTGCAGTATCCTACATAAGATTTATCCAACAGAGCAGTAAGATGTAGACTTACACACGGACTGTTTCATAGCTATGTAAAGACAAGTTAAGAAGATCATCCATCAAAAGCAAGACATGATCAGATGGAGACAAATTTCCCATCATCCGGAAAATATGATAAGAGGACTGTGAAGCTCTCCAAGTACTATGCATATAAGCTTTGTCAATTAGCGCCCATCGTGATCTGCATGGTTTTTACACAGTCATTTTATTTTGGCCTATCAGTCTGTGATGTACAACGAAGTGTGGAAACTATACCTTCTTTTTCCTTTCGAATGAGACGACACAATGTAATTAACTGGAGGTTCTACAATGCCAGGAGATTCCAGTTTCCAGGCCTGTCGGTGATTTACCCACTCATCATATTCTGAACTCCCTGTCAATTCAGTCAAAGAGGATTTGATAAAAATGGGGTATTAATTACAAAAGAATACTATGGAAGACAATTACAAAGAAGGGTAAATTACCGTAGTTCACTAAAGAATCCATTATACGAATGAGAAGCAATAATAGAATGCTATCATCGGACTTTTTCTCCAACAAGTAACTGGTAGTATAAAAGCAGCAATATTTAGAATCTGCATGCTAGAGCTATAAAAAAGAACAATAAAATGAGGGGAAAAGATAATAAATACAGGCAAGCTGAATGAATAACATCTGCAGCTTTCTCTCGCAGTTCAGCACTACCAACACAAGTGCCTGTTGCTCCAGCAATCAAGAAAGGAATATGACCTTGCTCTTCAACCATCCCTTCTTTGCAGGATGGCCTAAAATCAGGTAAACATGACAAAACCCCTTGTAATGAAGAATCAATCCGCAGAAGAGTCACTTTTAAGTGTTCTTTTTCATCTCCTGAGTAACAAGTAGCAAACAAACATCATACGAAATGATTTTAACATCAAATTTCCATATAGTATAGATGGATGGTCCATTGTTACAGAAGGGCTTTGTTCTAAACCTTACCTGAATCAGAATGGATTTTAGATTTGCATATCCTTGAAAGTTCAACTAAAGCAGAATCAAAATGCAGACTTAGGAGTTCATTTGCAAACTGGATCTCTTCCTGACAAGGAACATGCCACCCGGGAGCCATCAATCTTTTATCATTTGCAAAATCTTTCGTACTGATCCACTCCTCCAATGCAGGGGCAGCCGAGTGATGCAAAAGACACCTGATAACCCAAAAGTTAACCATGTGAGAAGAGGAATGAGAATAACATAAATGTTTATGTGTTCCCACAGGTACTATAGGCCTAGCACATCTCATGTTCTGTACTTGTATATATATATGCTCTCTCTGACATCTTACTACACCGAAATATATATAATCTATTATGTTGTTCAAAAGTATGAGATTAACATGTTAGATCCCGCCCGCCCCATCCATTCAAGCAATAAGTTTGTTGTTGATCTCCTCACATCAAGGAGACTTCCTCTTCTGCCCAATCATAAACCAGTTTTGCTGTAGGCATGGACAAGCCCTTGCCAGCAATGACAAATACTCACTTAGGGCAGCTCATACACTTCTGTTAAACCTTGGTTCAATAGTGAAGGTTGGTCCAAACGTTTAACAAGACAATTGATATATACTACCGATAAAAATGGGAAAAGATAGATGTTTATTGTGGCATTATATTGACCCTGAAGTGCATAAAATCCTCTAATTAAGTAAGTATATGAGATGTCCCAACATCTGCACCAAACAGGCAGCTCTCAATATGAATTATATTCAACACTTGTATCATTTTGTATCCCAGTAGGCTGTGCTTTAGGTGCCATCCAGATATCACAGCTATGCCGTGACTTTCTTCATCAGGTGGAAGCGTCGCGACAAGAGCTAAATACTAAATAACTTGAACCTATTGACGAAACAATGTGGCCAACTTAAACAATGTGACGATATATTCTTGGTATTCACTTTATCTACCCTGCATTCAAATTTGTGACATGTATGGGTACATGCTTTGCAGCTTAGTCATGTCACATAACATTAATCGAAATATGAATCGCTATAACTAGGTCGTCTCCTGGAAGCGACACGTCATCCCTCCGTCTCAGGTGGTGATAATCACGCTAAGATTGCTACATCATCGCGTGGAAGCGGCGCGCCACCCCAATGCCTGGAGATGGTGTCAAATAAGTGAGGGCATGATGGGGGTTGAAGTAGTGATAAAGAATAGAAGGTGGAGTTAAAGATTGCGCTTTGGAACATAGAATGTTGAGTCTCTTATGAGAAGATCGTATGAGGTAGTTAAGGTTATGAGGAGGAGGAATATTAGCATTATATGCGTGCAAGAAACTAAGTGGATTGAGAGAAGACAAGAGATTAATCCTGAAGTTTTAAGTTGTGATATTCGAGGAGAGAGAAGACCAGAAATGGAGTAAGCATTATTATGACGCGAGACTATGTTGAGAATGTGGTGGAAGTCTTCAAGAAAAATGACCGCATTATGAGCATTAAATGGGTGATGGAGATGAGATCATGTCTCTGGTAAGTGCTTATGCACCACAAGTGAGGTTGCATGCATCTATTACCTGACATATAACGATTCTTGGAAGATCTTGAGGAATTGGTGCAATAAGTTCCAAGAGGAGAGATGGGGGTCATAGGAGGCGGCCTCAACGGGCATATAGGCTCAAGTTGTGATGATTTTGAGAGCATTTATGGTGGACATGGTTTTGGCATTATAAATGAAGTAGGAAAAACATTTTGGATTTTTCTTTGGCGTGTGAGTTGGCTATAATGAACAATTGGTTCAAGAAAAGACTCTAACCTTGTGACCTAAATCAACTACTTCTTAGAATGGACTACTTGGAGAACTGACTACACAAAGTGTTGTCACTCTCACAGATTTTCGAGGTAAGAAGCATAGAAGGTGGGTTAGACAACCAATGGAGCCAGAGATAAAATTGGTGGAAGCTCGAGGGGATCTCTAACAAAACTTTGCACACAAAATGTTTAGTGAAAACGTATAGTGTATTGATAATGACGCACATGCGGAGGATGTGATTATCAATGGAGCAAACCATTAACAAAGTGGTAAAGGAGATGCTTGGAAAATCTAAAGGATCCTTGCCACCAAAAAAGAACACATCTGAGTGGACTGATGAGGCGAAACTGTGAAACAAGCCATAAGAAATAAAAGGGAATGCTACAAAGTAACCCTGCACTGATGGTGCCTTTCTAGATTGTTATAGGTCAGCTATGTGCCCCTTTTGGAGAATGCAACTGATTTCTTTGTCCTTGCTTCTTATGTTCCTAACCACGGATGGTCATCTTGTGCAGGCATTGTAAGATGCATCATGGCCCTTTCCCTTAGTGTTATTATTGTCATAATTCATAAATTGATTTATTATTGCCTTAAATCAGGACATGCCAAGGATCAAGGACTGCTGCTCCAGGTTACATGGTTGCCCTCCATGCTCAATCAGTATGGTTCACATCCAGTGTCTGAGCTTTAGATTTGACTTCCTCCTCAGTGATGGATTTCGCTGCTGAATATGAGGAGGGCTTCCACCTTAGCACATCTTGACCTCCCAATTTCTCCCAATTAGCGTGTGTTGCATAACAAGGTCCTTCATGTTTGTAGATTCTCGAATCCAGTGCCTCACATCACACGATTTTTACCTCTAAATGTCCTTGTCTATGTCTTTGCCCTAATGGTTTTAAGACGCCGGCTGTCGGGGTTGGTTGAGCTTTACCATTAGCCTCTTGTCCCCTCAAATTAGTATTGTATGCCACTATGCCCATAATAGTCTATTTTAGTAAGCTCGAGTAATCACTTGCTCTATGACCATTATTATGCCTATTTAATTGTTGTGCAGGACTGTAACAAAATGAAGGAGATTGACAAGTTGGCCTCTACTACAACTCTCCTCATGTTCCATGTGAGACGACTGAGTCCCGCATGGCTTATGTAGTCAGGACAGCGAAACTGTTGTTTACAATGTTGAAGATGGCATATTCGAAGATTGTGCCAAATTTTTATATGGTTTTATGGATCGTGAAAAATAAGAGATACCTAAAAACTTGGATAGGACCCAGGTCCAACTGTCCAAGTGAAGAGAACTGGGACATAATGGGCAATAAGTTGGGGTGTGAGATGCAGGCCAAATTACAAAGTTGGTGCAAAAAAGAGGACCATTTGACAATTTGGTAAAAACAAAAGCTCCGATGATATATTGATAATTTAGAAAAGCTCCAGTATTATATAGATAATCTTTTTATAGTAAGATCAATCCGAATGATCTTTTTTGGTTTAAAAAAATGGTTTGTTGGTGTTCTAAATTACAAAAGATTTGCTTCAACTTATTTAGGGCGGTTTTATATTGAAAAATTGTGACCGTTTTGTATGGAGCTTTGAACATATTTTACAAAAATGGTTCTGGGGACACTCTCATTTTATTACTGCTCATATTTTCCATTACATCATTAAGGCCCACAAAAAAAAGAGAATAATCATGATATTCATCTAATTATCATTAGTCTTCATCACATTACTTTTACTCCTCTACAATTCTCAATCTGTACATGTATGGTGTGGGCACGTGTTCATCTCAACCAAATGCTCATTTTTAATAAATCCATAAAAATTGAGTCATGACGCCGGAGTCTTTTAAATTATCAATATGTCGCCGGAGCCTTTTTTACCAATTTGTCAAACTACCCTCTTTTTTACCAGTTTGGTAATTATGTTGTTAGATGCATCGTGTCTAAAAGCAACTACATGCTACCTTAATCCGCAATATCAATATGATCCCAATATATCGGGAGTCTGGACATCTATAGATGAAAGTTGTTCATTCAAATTTCAATCAATAAGTAGTTGATCAAAATGAAATGAATAGGAGTAATGTGTCCACAACAATGAACAACATTATTGATGGTGGTGATAAACGTAGTGTTGAGCATGAGTGTGGTCGAGGGCAAGAATGTGCTAGGCACACACTAACTAGAGCAACAGTTGGGTATGAGCCTAGCCGTCTAGCACATCTACAACCATCGTATCTTGTACATGTATATACAGTTAGCATATTTATGATCTATGTACCATCTTAAAGGACAGGAATATATATTTTATCTATATTGCTCGCATAAATAAAGCATTAAAATTGACAGGCTGAACGAAACATACTTATATTGATCAATGGGATAGTAAAGGACCAGGCTTCCAAGAAGAGATCGGAGAACATGATCTCCCGCCCCATTGACCTGCCATATATAATATCTTTATCACCAATTTAGTATAATAACTTAAGAATAAGTTCAACATTTGTAAAAAAGTTATTGTGGCTATGAACCTGAATGTTTCTCATGCAAAAGGATATTTTCTTATAATTTAGCTTCATATATACGCATCTTTAAAATGCTCCCTCATCCAAAACGCAAGGACTTTTACTTTAGTGATATTTCAATGAGAACGTGTGTGTGTGTGTGTGTCTGTATATGTATATGTGTGTGTATTGCAAAGTATTACGATAGTATGTAGTTTCTAAATAGTCCATCAAATGGGGTTAGAAATTTGAATGGAAAAGCAAGATGTGGTATCAAAAATAGGAAAGTTAACTTTATTTTGAGATGGACAAAAACTGAAGAGTAAGACAAGTAGGACAGAGAGTATTAAACAGAATATAGGGAATACAAAACCTTCCATGATGGAGAATTAAAAGCACAAGCAATAGCTTCTTTCAATTCGTCTTTGTAGTGAAGAAGTGCAGGGCCTGCATAACTGATTCCAATGGATAACACTTTCAACTGATATTCAATTGCATTTTCAAGAGCCGGGGAGAGCATGGGTTTTTCCTAGAAAGAGAAAAAAATCAAGACATAATAGTTTTGAACGGAAAAAGATGAGAAATTAGTAGAAATGAAAACCTTGCTGACTCTAGAAGCTTCAGAAGTCCCTCTTCCCCCAAACCCTGTAACAGGTGTTCCTTTAAATGACAATATAGCAGATTCCAACATTGGTTTCACAAGGTGAGTAACAGCCTCCTTAGGATTAGGATGAACAGAGGCACAACAAAGCAACCCAACCTCTGCAATTGCCCCAGGAAGGATGTTCATTGTAACAAACTTGGAAATTTTTTTAAGTGCCTGTTCAATTGGTTATTAGCTCACAAGAAAATATTTGCATCATCCAAATTCACATTTCAAATTTCTGACTCAAAACCTGTTTATACAGGGACTCCGAAAGCCTCCCCATCAATATTTCTAACATGCAGAAATAGTATGGACCATCCTCGACAAGGAAAGTTCCTGAAGTTGCAGGAGAATGAAGACCTTCGTTCCTACAGCATCATTGAATACATATATGTTAGCTGTATGATTATATGCAACTTTCATCCATTACATGCATCCACCAATATGTCAAATGCATATCAAAGATGCATTTTGGGATGATCATTAAGCTAGAACTAAACGAAAGGGAAAACACATATATTCTACTCTTACACGACACTACTTGGTTCCAAATGTTGGAGCAATGAAAACAAACGACAAAAAAACTCATCAAGCCATTCAGAAAAGTGAAACTCAGGCATACAAAACACTCCATCTGCATTATCTTCCAAAATAGCCATCTGCAGATGCAAGTCATTTGTGTCATATCCATTTGGAAGTGCCGTTACACTTGTATCATTTCAAGTTCAATACTCACATTGGAGAATAAGGAACCAATAAGCTGCAGTGTTGCCAATGTTTTGGGTGGATCATTGGCATCCATACCAAGCAATGCATTTGATAACGAAATTGACAAAAGGTCAACAAATGAACCATCGTGATCATCAGCATCAGATTTCATAGAAGATGTAGATAAGGCCATGAGGAACAGAGATCGTGCAGAAAATGCTACCGACATAACAGCACTTTTCAACTGGTGAGTAGCTGTCATCTATTCCAATTATTTTATTTGTATACACATGAAACAATTAAAAATGTCAACAATTTACAAATAGCATAAAAAGGCAGGAATATTGTTGAAATGTGTGTGCAAAGATGGGCAGAAGTATAAGAATCACAGCATGTGTTAAGCAGTCATTTATTCAACATTATTAGCTAAGGCACATGATTCGACTACGAAGTGTTCATTGTATTTCACCTTTACCGCCTGTGTATATATAGTGTTTACAGCTGTAATTTTAAGTGTGAGAAAACTTATGGTTTTGTACATGGAGATTAAAGTACTCCTTTGGTGTGTAGATGCTTAAGTGTGATTCAAAAAGAGTGTTCCAGCACTGTCATTCTGCCTTTTCAGTATGGTATCGGAGCGAGAGTACTATTCTGGTGAACGGATTACTATTCCAGAGATAGGACTTGCTATTTTAGCAACCAGAGTTACTACTTTGGTTATTGTTCACAGCTCCTACTATTTTGGGTCAGAAAATTCTTTGAACCTTTTTGTTCTCTGCTAAAGAAAAGAAATGGAAAGGCAGAAAATCTGAAATAAAATGCACTACGTATAAATCAGAAAGAAAAAAAGAAGAGCTTAGTCTTTGTGTTGTGTTCCAAATTTTCTACCACAAATTAAAGGGACAAGGTGCTTAGAGCGAAAAAAACAAACACAAATAGAGAGGGAAAAGGTGTGTTTGAGTGTTCCTGAGAACACCAAATTAAGGGTTTCGATGTTACAAAGGTGTAGGAAGATGCTCCAATGAAAAGGTGTTAAGAATGCCCAATGAGGGTATAAAATAAAGATGCTCGGGTGAGCACTGAAGGGTTCACAGGTGATAAGGGATGGTCAGGTGAGAACCAAAAGGTCCAAAATGTTATGGGTATAATTTTAATACAGTAAGAGTATCCAACATATCTTATATTTATCTTTATCTTTTCCATTTTATCTTACCTTGTCTTTTTATTTTTTTCTTATCTTTTCTCTTTTTGGCTCTGATATCATGGATAGATTCATGTTAGCCTTAGCCGACCCCAAAATCTTTTGGGAACAAGGCTTGGATGTTGTAGTTGTTGTTGAAGAGTATCCAACAATAAATCTTCAAAAGTTTAGGCTAATATATCCCATGAGAACTTACTGTTTCTGAGGCCATGTGAAACCGAGATGCTAAAAAGGGAAGAACCAAGGATGGTTCTATATACGAAAGAATAGAAGTTGCAGCAGCAACAGTTTCTGAAAGATGTTCATTTTTGCTATATTGACCACGATCAATCAGCCTCAAGATGATATTAACAAAGGAAGTCCTGTCCACCTGCCTTAGGAAGCGTGACGACAGTTCACCTTTATCTTTTCTCCTGAGCAAAAATGCAAAATGCTTTAGTAAGATCAATCACCATATAAAGCATCATATTACATTGGGGAATTTTGAGTTTGCACCCCACTTTTTGGGTGATATTGGACTTTGCACCCATTTTCAAAACTTTTAGACTTTGCACCCTATCTTGAATATGGTGCAAAGTCTAAGAGTTTTGAAAATGGGGTGCAAAGTCCAATATCACCCAAAAAGCGGGGTGCAAAGTCAAAATATCCCTATTGGATTCTTTTCAGGGAAAAGTATCTTACTGTTGCTCCAATTGCAACCTATTTTGAAATGTAGTTACTAAATAGAACAAGAATCGTTCAAGAGAATATGTCCAGCGGCCACCATTGGAAGGGTGGTAGTACCTAAATAATGAAAGGAAGACTTATAGATGCATATAAGGGAGAACTACCAAATAGGCTTTCGAACTTAAATAAAAAGTGCAAATCACCCCTTATATAGGAGGCTCTGTCCAGCCGTCGCCATTTGGGGCGGTTCCCGGTGTAATTTTTTGATGAAATTTTTTGAGCATCTTATTCATTAAGTCTAGTTTACTCATACCAAATTTGAGCTAAATCTTCAACCAGGAAGGCAGATTTGACTTTCTGACATATACTGCGTTGTTTAACTGCGCAGTTATCTTCAAAAAATCATTTGACTCCCTTCCCGATTGAATTTTTAGCTGAAATTTGGTATGAGTAAACTAGACTTAATGAATAAGATGCTCAAAAAAATTCATCAAAAAAATCCACCAGGAACCGCCCCAAATGGAGACGGCTGGACAGAGCCTCCTATATAAGGAGTGATATGCACTAATATATAATCATTAGTAGGAATCAACTAGACAGAGATGAATGGAAGCAACAAAATTCAGAAAACGAACTGTTCCAAGAGGTTGACCAATTTCTCAAAATGATGTAGTGTTGAACCTCCAGGACTTAGTAGATAAACCTGCACTCATGTTAAGAGATTGCCGGGGTAAGTTCAGTTTGGAAATATTACAATAAAACCCACCCGAGTGTTTCTGAGAAATCTTACAACTGATTTAGCAATGGCTTTTGATGGAGTGACTGTTCTATTTGAGAACAAGAATCTAGTGTTTCTAGGAACATCCACAGAAAATGGATTTGACCCACTTCCATTTGCCACAGGAACCTGTGAATTCAGCATCAATCACACAGAATGCTATGAGTGAAAAATAAAAGGGTATCTGAATGACCTCCTAACCATGTTGGTTACGGGTAGCCTGCTAAGGGTCTCTTTGGCCCATTGATAAACCCCAATATTGTCTAGCCCGGTTCGGGCTGAGGGGGCGTGTTAAAGTATTTGTCCCACACCGGAAAGCTATAAAACAATAAATATACTAGTATATATATAAAGCTTTGGGCTACTCCTCCTATCAGAGTGACCTTTTAGGATGGAACTCTGGGTCTTAACATGGTAGGATGTTCAAACTATCCCAAAACATAGGGGAAAGAAGTAGGTGATAACATCTAGCCTGCTAAGCCTAATTATAGAAGTGTTATCTTCTGACCAAAGAAAGAAATAAAAATAAATATCAGATGATTTGAAGTGTAGAATTCTACATATCTTAAGAGTTAGGACTTAGGATGTCTTCATGCTACTTGCCTACTTACTACAACATAATAGCTTCTTGCAGTTGTCACAATTAGGAAAACTGTCACCATTCAGCAGTAGGTAGTAGGTATATTGTTAGTGAATGTTTTTTGAAGCTAAATCATGTGTAATCACTTTTATTACTTCCCTATTGGTTACTGTTACTGATAATGGAAGCAATGAAATGATTAAAATTATATTAATTTAACACTCCCTATATCCAACTTTATAAGATTCCACTTTCCATTTTGTTTGTCCCAACAACTATGTCAATATTTCTTGCGACGAAGTATAATTTTTCCTACTTTACCCCTTTTCTGATTTTGACAGTGAACTAGTTGTACTACTTTTATAAAAGTCATCCATCTTTGAGGGGGGCACTGGAAACCAGACTGAATATCATTTCTTTCATGTGCGAGCAAAAAACAATTGGGGCTTACACTTTTGGACAGAGGGGGGCATACCGTTACTTTTTTTACATTATTTAAATCATAAGAATAAAGATGACCAAAGTGGCCTAGAAGAGCCAAGATCACTGCAACATAGAGATACGCCAAATAGACACCCTAACACTTGGGAATACTGTTTCTTAATTGCCACGATTAACCAGGCTGCAAGTGCAACCTCCAATGTACACCAAAAACCCTATATGGCATAGGGAAAGGCTCTAAAAAGAATAAATTATAAGAGCATATTTGACTATTAAATAGTGACATCATTAGTTATTCGTTCACCGCGACTTAGATATGGAAACAATTTGCTACATGTAACATATTAAGTATCTTTACATAGCACACCTACCTCAAACATATTCAAGTATCTGTTGAAAAAAATTGGCAAGAATACTTCCCAATCAAGATTGCTGTAGTTCTTTATCACACGGGCGGTAAGAGAGGTCCACTGGCTGCTCCAAAACTGGGAATTTGGTATAGAATCCCAGTGATCTAAGCATGATCTAATCCAATCACTGTCATGACATCAAAAAAATGTTGAAGTACATAGAAAAGAGAAAACATTATTCCAAAAAACTAGTATCTTACTACGAGAAGAAGTCTTTATTTTCCACATTTGTTGGAAGGAACAGTCGTACAAAACCAGAACCTTCAAATACTGAATTATGCCATGGATTTTCCAATACGGATCTGCAATTACATTCATGGACAGATATAGTATTAAATTTCAAAGTAAAGAATCACTGTAAGGAATTCATCTTCATTTTTGCATAAAATGCATATATATAGGGAAGAGTTCAAATAAAAAGACCTCTTCCCGTGCAAAGTGCGAAGATATGCACTTTTTCATGTTTCGCTTGCACTTTTTCGTGTTTCTGTTGCACTTTTTCGCGGTGACGAAAAAGTGCAACAAATTTATGAAATTGTCACCGCGATTTTGATCGGATTTTGTGCATTTTTGGCTCATTTTGAGCCATTAGATGTGGAAATGAATGCACAAGATTCATTCTCGCTTTGCATAAGAAGAGGTATATGTATTTGAACATACAAAGTGAGTAATCTTCCGGTTAGGAATTTCCTGACCGAACATATAGCGTCCAAAAGGAATGTTCCCAAACCCTATATATCTTAAATCTTAATGTACTACTTTTAGGGGTACTAAAGAAAACAAATAGTGGTAAAGGAAAAGGGTTACGATTGTATGCTAACTTGTATGTTTGTTTGTCCGTTCATTGATACCTATGTGTTTGGGTATGAAAAGGCCCAAATGATTTTTGGAAGATAACTGCGCCAAAATATACACATAAAACGCAATTATCTTCCAAAAATCATTTGACTGCCTTCCCGATTAAATTTTTAGCTGCAATTTGGTGTGAATAAACTAGACTTGATGAAGAACATACAAAAAAAATCAGAAAAAAAGCCACCGGGAACCGCCCCCAAAAGGCGGAGGCCGGACGGCGGTTCTGGTCTGGAATTCCGGACATGAACTTTTCAGTGTGTGTGTCTACATATATATATATATATAGAGAGAGAGAGAGAGTAATTTTCATGTCCCTCCTTTCCTGACCAAAGCGCCGTCCGGCCTCCACCTTTTGGGGAGGTTCCCGGTGGTATTTTTTGCTGAAATTTTTTGTGCATGTTCCTCATCAAGTGATCAAGTCTAGTTTATCCATACCAAATTTCAGCTAAAATTTCAATCGGGAAGGCATCCAAATAATTTTTAAAAGATGATTGCGCCAAAATATACATATAAAATGCAGTTATCTTCCAGAAATCATTTGACTGGCTTCCCGATTGAATTTTTAGCTGAAATTTGGTATGAATAAACTAGACTTGATGAGGAACACGCACAAAAAATTTCAGTAAAAAATACCACCGGGAACCGCCCCAAAAGGCGGAGGCCGGACGGCATTCCGGTCAGGAAGGGAGGGACATGAATAAACCCCTCTCTCTCTATATATACATATATTTTAATCCCGAAATGCACATGAGAAGGTGTGATAAATTTCGGGGAACATTTACCATATTTATTGAAATAAAATTTACAAGAAAGGGGTTAATACAATTTTAGAAAAAGACAAATCGGAAGAATTACTAAAAGAAAACTAAAAAGGTCTAAATAGAGCGGCCCAAATGGCCCAACGACCATAACCGCAATCGTCCAAATCCTGAGAATAAAACATCTGCGAACATATAGCGTCCAAAAGGAATGTTCCCAAACCCTATATATCTTAATGTACTACTTTTAGGGGTACTAAAGAAAACAAATAGTGGTAAAGGAAAAGGGTTACAATTGTATGCTAACTTGTATGTTTGTTTGTCCGTTCATTGATACCTATGTGTTTGGGTATGAAAGGGAACATTTTTTATCTGTCCCATAAAAAGTCATATTTCAAACAATTTTTATTAAAGAAGCTAATTATTTATATATATGTTGCCAAAAAAAGTACAAGACCATGTGACATAAATTTAAAACATAGAAGTAGGATTAATTATTTATAGTATTGTACCTTACCAAGATTTAAAGTAGTACAAGGGTGGATGCAATATTATTTGTTCAGAAATGACCCCATTAATGATATTCCATTGTTGTCTTACACTCTTACTCCATGAACTAAATGTACCACTAATACTTGGTGTTTACCTATAAAACAAATTCTGCTGCGATATGAAAACTAGCAAATGCTTAAGATGCATGACAACGAAGTTACTAGGTTATCCAGATTATCTGTAAACAATGTGATGAAGATAGTATGTGGTATTTTTATACATTGGAAAGGAAATATGGTGTCTGAATGAAGGAATAAGAGAGTTACCTGAACTCAGTCCATATCTCAAATCCAGAACCTGAAGGGAAGAACCGCCGAGAAGATCGAACAAGTGAAGTAACTGTCTCAAAATGTCGTTGTTTCAATCTCCATCCTTCAGGGCCAGTATTCCTGCTTCAAATACACACACCCCATCTCTCAACATATATTTACGAATCCAGGAATAAACTGGGCCAGAATAGTTGAGTAGTCTCAACAGATGGGAATCAAAACAATGCTAATCAAGTTCAATTGCCAAAAGGGGGGGAAAACAGAAACTCAATCGGTTTAAAATTAAGTATAGCGTCTGTCGAGCTTTTGTTAAAAGCTAGACCATAGTTTGTGTGCTCTCACTGCCAGCTTGGACTATGTATTTCTTTGTGAAAGATTCTGATTCATCCCATAAACAGAAAAAAGAGAAGGAAATCGAACTTCTAAAACTGCATATGCTCATAACTTATGATAAGCATTACGATGTCAGGTTTCAAGCATGTTCATATTTGGCACCACTATATTTAGATATCCTAATTTCCCATACAACATAGAAAAATGAACTCCAGATGTAGAAATTTTACACCCGACTCCGATTGATATAGACTTTATGCCAAACTAGAGCCATTTAACATGGAAGACAGCATTACAGCATTACTGTGATGTGTATATGTAACTTGCCTCGTGAAGTGAGTGTGTACCAGAGTATCATAGAATGGGCGCCACTGGACCTCCAAATCCAACTTCTTTCTAAATTTATTTAATATCCTTACCAAGAGATTTCCCCATCTGACCTGATCAAAGCAAAATGGTATGTCATCTTAACTAAAGAAAAAGATTTCCAGCTGCAGAGATGCAGGTGGGAGTGCTGACTGGATAGATGCTACACCTGAATATTAAGTTTATTTTCTGATAATCTAAATAAGTCCAACCCAAATTCGACAAGGTCTTTCACATCTTCAATGCGCAATTCACTTCTTGCCTTTATGAAGCTGTAGATAGAAGAGAAATAATTTCATTATAAGATAACCATGTATGCTGATAAAGTGTTCTATAAAAAGCATAACAGATCGCATGTATAAGACCACAAAATCTTCATGTGTCATTTAATCATCCTCGACAAAATCAAAATAATACTTCATGTCTCCATTTGTTTGATATAAAAAAATGTATGAAATATATGGCTTTTGCAATTGTACACGAATTAAATTAAATATAACATCATAAATCCAATATTCTTAAAAATTAAATTATATGAAACATACTTCCTCCGTTCTTAAATAAGTGCAACAGTCCACTTTTTACGTTTGCCCATGTAACTTTGACCATTAATATATATAATTCTCTATTTGTAAAAAAATAAAAAAAAAATGAAAATTTACAATTAGACAAACTTAACAATATTTTTTAAAAAATAATTTATTAATACATTAATAAATAAATTGTAGTCAAAGTAGAACATGTGAATAATGTAAAATTCAACATGTTGCACTTATTTAAGAACGGATGAAGTATAAGTGTGTAACACAACTTTAAGAACAGACAGTTCATTGCATGTTCATGAAGCAAACATAGCATATGGTCCTGAGTGTAAATACAATCCCCATCCATAAAATTAGATGCATAAACTTTCTACACACATTGTTAATAAACGACATGGAGTATATTTCTTCATAATTTGTCTCCAAAACCTTGTGAAATGGTTTGCAAAATCATTAACTTCAATAGTTTCAATTCCTTCAGTTAAGTGAACTTGCCTTTATCAGTGCAAACTGCAAAGCAAAGTTAGACACATAAACTTATTGGATACGCATTAACCACACATGGATTGCATAAGAATAATTACATAATTTTTATACAACGCATCATGCCATGAATGACTAACACTCCCATAAATAACACTAGTTTCACTCATTCCAATTAAATTCAACCATTCAAAAGCATCTCCAACTTAAAAATCAAAACATTGATCATAAATGTTGGATTGAAGTTCGTATACTGAAATTATGTATCTAAGCAGCTTGATAAAAGCCTAAGAGCAACCAATTCTCTATCAATCAAGTACGGATATAATTGAACAGGAAAAAATATTCATGAAAGCGAGCTAATGTTTGGAGCTAAGCTTACAGGTCGAGAACAGATATCCATTTCAGCGTAGCGTAAACCGATTCCGGATCGTCCTGCTTATACGATTCCTTGGCCGTTTTCACCACTTCAGCGAAAGCCTCACCCTCTTTTCTCGTCTGCTCCGCCACCGGCGGTGGCAACCAAGCGTTATACAGATGCATTTCACCTCTCTATATATCTATTCTTCAATGAAAATCCCTCTCCGGCACCTGAGCTACGGACTGTATACTGTTTTGTTGCTATTCCCGGCCCCAAGTGTTGTATTTCTTCTTCTCCAAGGAAAAAAGAAATGGTGTATCCGAGGTTACGGTGAATCAGTGATGGAATCAGAATGACGTGTCTAAATGTCTATGAGCCCAAAATTGGCTGTTTTGGCGGATTCCGCTGAATTTTCTGAAGTTCTGGCTGAAGTGGTTGCATTGGCTGATTCTGCTGATTTAAGAAACAATTATTTTTAAAATATATTTTATTAATAAAATAAAGAAAAAATTATATGTAAAAATATCTTAAATGGTCATCTACAGTAATTTCAGCCAAAACAGCCAGAAAAGTAACTTCAACCTTACTTTTTCTGCTTATTACACAACTCAATGCGCGAAAGTAAAAGTTACGTATTTGGTGAAAAAGTTGGCTGATAAGCCGAAAAATAGTGCTGCCAAACGGCCTCTATATATTCCAAAAAAAGCTTTTTTTCAGAAATAATGATACGATTGAAATAAAAGTAATAAATACTCTCTCCGGTTTTTATTAAACTTCACTCTTTGACTTCACATAAAATAAGGAAAGAAATTCGACTTTACTGTAGAGTACACTGTTGAAGCACTGTTTGACACTATTTGACACTGTTGAGACACTGTTTGGCACTGTTGAGACACTCTTTGGCACTGTTTAGCACTGTTTTGATGTAGATTTCTTTGCCAAAAAAGGAAATAAGGAAGTGTGAAGTTTATTTTAGACCGTCCCAAAAAGGAAAGTGTGAAGTTTATTAAAAACCGGAGGGAGTAAATAAAAGCGACTTTAGAATTAAAACATGGAAGAAATTCAGATTATGCATATTTTCTCCCCAAATATGACCATATTATTTCTATATTAAAATGTATGGAATTTTTCATTTCATTCTTGCATTCACGCATATATTGTAGATAGAGATGGTCACGAGAATACTCGTTCTGATCTGTAATCCTCATTTCATTCTCAGTTTTCAATACAAGCTTTCTCTTTTTCTCTACTAGTATATGTACCCGTGCACTGCACGGCAAAATATGCACTTAAAGTTTTTATAAAAATTGTAAGTGAAATGAATTGTATGTGAATTCATCAATCACGGTTTAAAAGAAAATTCACTCAACTGTGGATAGAGCTGTCGAAAGGAGTCAAAGTCTCAAGGCTAGCTTGGTCTATTGCATCCCATTTCAAAGTGGGTAAGAGTTGTCGTTTTTTATCCAATGAAGTGACCGGTTTCGTGGGTCAATTCGCACGGGTTGCATGTTAAGTGAGTAACACAAATTATAAACATTGTTTTTTTACTTTTTTTGTCTTCAATATTGATGGTTTACTACCAAAATTATTTTGAAATATACTTGTTATTTTACAACCCTTGTTGAACTATTATTTCTATATTATAATAATTATTCAAATGTTTACTCAAAAGATGTAAATTGCGTCATTTCTACACTGAGTGTTTTTTATAGATACTCCTTCCGTCCCGCTGAGATTCTCTTATCTTTTCCTTTCGATCTGTCCTTCTAACACTTTCTCATACGAAGTACAAAATTAGCTAAAGTTTGTGTGGTATTAAATCATTCTTTCTTAATTTTTATTTCAGCAATTCAACGGCAACCACATAAACTCATTTTTCTTAATAATCGTGTCATCACCTCATGTCCCAATCTTAATGGGACGGAGGTAGTACAATATAATAGTTATAAAATTTCAGTATACCAATGATTTAAATACATATGTATATAATATTGGAATACATAAAAGTAGATTTTTGGAAGTTGAATAGTTTTTTCTTGAATTTATTGTCTTGCCACATGTCACTTTTTCATACAAAGACTATTGCCACATGTCAATAATTCCTCTAAAGAGTTCCTCAAGAGTTTGCTTTATTATATTATATAGATATTGTTCTTAATAGTTGATTGTTGAAAACGAGACAAACAAGTAATAGTAATAGTAATAGTAATAGTAGTAGTAGTAATGGTAATTGTAATTGTAATGATAATTGTAATTGTAATGGTAATGGTAACGGTAACGGTAATGGTAACGGTAATGATAATGGTAATGGTATTATGGTAATGGCAATAGCCAATGGTAATGGTAATAGTAATAGTAGTAGTAATAGTAATAGTGTTTGGGTAATTGGTCTAATACGGGATCAACCCAATACCCCATAAAGGAAAAGGATCGAAGGACGCAAAGGACCATGCGACGCTCCGCATGGCGCGTGCGGTGCGTCACCGCGCGGCATCATTGCCTGCACTTATTTGGATCTGAGATCATAAAGGCCTCAGTTAGAGCGTCTAACATAATTGGCGGAAAACACACTAAATGCACCAGGTATGCAAGATTTGATGGTTGGAAGGCTAGCCACTCATGATCCTTCATGTCACCAATATCATCTAACTCATGGTAGTATAAATAGTAGCATTTATTTCATTGTTAGGGGGTTGGCAACTTGTACTCACTAGCTTTAGATTCTAATCTCCACTACTCACGGCTAGATTAGACGCTCGGCCTTGGCGTCAGTAGTGTGTTGTACGTAATCATTTCTAAGAGCTTAATAAGAACTCAAACTACTTATTGTCCCTCTTTATTTGCCAAGTACTTGTGTCTTTTCACTCATATAACTCACTAAAATATCCATCGAAGTCCAAGGGGGCGTGTTGGGCCCTTAGAGTTGGAGGAATAAACCCCAACACTAGTTTGTGGGAAAACTGGAAAAAAAAATCCCCGAGCAAGCTTTTGTGTTAGGCAGCATCTTTCGAACCTATCAACCAACAAAATGGTCAGATTCTCCTCTGAACACATTTAAGACATGTCTGATTACCTGGCGGATAGCAGGAGGACACGAACCATGATATCTGCGGAGTCATCCGACATGAATGGATGCAGCAAGGCAACCAACCACAGAGATGTCACTCGCCTAATCTCTCTCGAGGCCAGGAGGGACCCTTGGCTCATTAGGGAACTGACGGAGGCCATGCAACGCATGGCTGATCAAAATGACGCGGAGCGTACCGTCTACTCGGCAGAAACCAAGTGTTCACCCCATTCGACGTATGCAGTCTTTTGGGGACTATACTGCTGAGACTGAGGCTTTCGTACCTCGATTCACACACGAATCGGCGGATCAGCGGGTTCTCGTGACATGAGAGCCAGGGACGTTCAGACGCTCCGAGGCACTAACGACATGCTGCGTCAGGCCGAACTACCATGGTCCCGCGCAACAGTACTCAGGTCAGGGAGCCAAGTCCCACTATGAATAACGTAGGCCGCCGCTTCCAATACATTGAGGGAATGACAGTCACATCACCCAAAGACTGTGGCTCAAGGCCAGCCCGCGTGGGAGCAGAAACGGCAATCATAAGCCTCGTTGCCCCAATTCCTATGGCACAAGAAACGATGATGGTCAGACTACAAAGGCAGATTGACAAATTGAATCGATGGGAAGATAGTACACTCGTGCAGCCTCATATCTGCCTCACCTTTCCTTTCTCCGTGAGGATCATGGTCGCCGAGATTCCCCGAGAATGCAAGCCACCGGGCAGCTTGTTATATAACGCGGTGGGAGACCCCAAGGCCCACTTGCTCACCTTCCAAGGTGGGCTCATGCTCTTAGGAGCATCCAACAATGTCATTTGCAGACTATTTTTCAGCACTCTCCAAGGGCCATCCCATGAATGGTTCAGTGAGCTGTAGACTAGAACCATTGATAGTTTTGATGAATTGTCGAGGCAATTATTGGCTCAATTTGCTTCTAGCTCCACACCCAAGAAACATTTCAGCTCTCTCACGAGCTATAGGCAAAGCCCCAGGGAGTCCTTCGTTGCATTCCTAGTTCGGTCGAAGGATGAGACATTGAAGTTCGAGGACCTAACCGAATGCACATGAATCGCCCTTTTTACCAATGCTTTGGTGACGGGGGACCTCTATCGAGACCTGAAGAGGGACTCGGGGACCAGCTATGCTGAGGAGCTGGCCTTGAGGGACTGGGCGCCGACGGCTGTATCTCGCAAAATGGCAGATAGGTTGGACCTGAGGCCTGTGGATGCTTCTACGGCCAAATGGAAGAAGCCGCTCGGTGGGTTTACCCCGAAAGAACACGACGGTTACCCTTACTTCACCTTCTTGCAGGAACCAAGATGCTTATATCCAGTATCACCGGGAAAAGGGGCACATCACTGAGGGACGCAAGGGTCTCATGATAGTCATCGAGGACCTCATTTAGAGGGGGCACCTCAGTGAGTATATCAAAGGACCTGCACCACAGTACCAAACACACCCTTACATAAAATCAGACACTTGGCGCATGTGTTAGCTCCCCTGTTTTTGATGATCTATATTTAGTTTTGATGATGCCAAACCCCTTTTTGTTATCTCTGTATTAGACTAGATCTCTTGTACTTGCTCTACTTATATTTTTTGTAATGTGTTATCTTTAGTGATAAAATGTTCAAGAAAAACAAAGAGTACTAAAAAGATAAGAGATGTACCATAAAACAAAAAGAAAAGAATAAAAAAGGAAAGGTACGAAAAGAGTCAACTGAAACCCTTTGTGAATTTGGCAGCCATCTGAAACAACAAAGTGTTGGCTCTATCCTTCCAAATTCAACGTGTTGACCGTGTTGCTCCTCAATTGACCTCGTTGACCATCTAGCTCTGCTAATTGACCTGCAAAATAATCACTAAAAATAAATAAAAATATATTTGTGGCTCAAGACGCGTCAGACGCTGTCCTAAGGAATTATTTCCGGCGTACAGAAATTTCCCCCAAGATATAACGAGCCCTTCGATCAGTACAAGACCGGTAACAGAACTAAAAATGTGTTGTCAATTTATTGTATAACAGCACCATATGCACTCAAAATTTTAATTTGTCTCATTCGAGCAGCTATATCAAAAACCCCACTTCTGTTTGACGGCAAGAGAGTTTAAATAGACAAAATCATAAGAGTAAACTTTCACCAAAATAATGATATACGGAGTAAAATATTATCATAATTAAAAGTAATAACTATACTTTAATATTCATACGTTGGTGATGGGAAAGGTTTGGAAAAAATAAACTCCATGCATGTAATGTTAAAAGCTATTTAGTGGAGGTTAA